ACTCTTCCATTGTCACATTCATTACAAGGCCATCAACCTGGAAGAATATTGGAGATATTCAAGGAGGAAAGCTCCATTCAGGGATATTGATCTTGAAGACTCAAAGTTATGGGGTTTGGCAACAACCTGCCTCAGTTGCAGGGAACAAAATAGGAAAATATTATTTCTCCAATTCCTGCTTTCAAATAACCCAGAAATATATTGTTGGCCATATAAGAAACAAAATACTGGAGTCAGACCGATCTTGGCCTGATCCAGTAGGATTCAAATGGTCTTGATTCTATTAATAAATACCAGATTAGGGATGGGTTTGTGTGACACACTGAACCATAAACTGGCTAAACCTATTGTAGCCTAATGAAGTGTGGAAATTCTGCCTGTATGGTTTGTTTATACTTCAATGTATTGTGCAAACCCAGGTCAGTTAGTTAACTCATGGTTAAGTAACCTATGATTGAGTAAACCATTATTCAGTTAACTACAGGAAAGCTTGCCCAAACATGGCCATATAAAGAAGGCAATATCTGTAGAAAATAAACATTGGGGAGTTTAGTGTTTTTAAAAACTGTCCTAAACTCTATAGCCATGTTTGACATCAATATCTATATTGATGGAAAATTTTGGGCAACTAGCAATAATTGAAACACCATTCAGGATTTCTCTGCCAGAAAGCAAGACGTATCAGAAACAAATAGACAGCATCACTCTTGTTACATTTTATCCCAGACGTTCTACTGCCATGGTATTTAGATAAAACACTAATTTAGGGTTAACTGAGCCACAGTTTAATCTGTTAACTCTGTTGCTTGGGTTCATACATTATCTAGGATATTGTAACCTAAGTACATTGGCTGGACTTAAATAGCACAAATCGGCCAGCATTGTTTTAACCCAGGCACAAAGAAGCCAGTTCTTCAACTCCTTCTTGGACATCATGTTCATTAAACCCCCTTCTTTCTTTCCTTCCATTAAGCAGTTTCTCTCTTGCCTTGTACTTCTGTTGTATCTCAGGCGGCCATCTGGCCTTCTGCCATCTGCTTCTTAGGTGGCTGTACTTGAACCCTGCATCTTCTCACTTCTCATGCACAGTCATCTCAAAGGAACATATTTTGTTTATTAACGATTAAGACGTTGTAGCTTACAACAGCTGTGGTATGTGAAGTATTTAGTGATTTTACAGTTAATAGGTTATATTACCCTACCAATTCTTTCCTGAAAAAAATGTGTAGATGCCCATCAGATATGAGCTGGTATTTTTTGTTGAATTAATTGCAATTTTAAATCTATAAAAATGTAATTCAACGAATGCAAATATGATTTCACTGCTTTCCCATTGCTCCAATTCCTCTGCTATCACCTAGATCAGTGGTCCCCAACCTTTTGAGCATCAGGAACCAGTTCCATGGAGGCGTTTTTCTGCACATTGTGTGTGTGTGTGTGTGTGTGTGTGTGTGTATGTGGTTTTGCGCCTTGCTTGGACCTTGTGCATGCGCTAATGGGGCTTTACTCATTTGCATGGCCCGGTTCCTGGCAGGCCGTGGAGTGGTGCTATTCCGCAGCCCAGGGGTTGGGGACCCCTGACCTAGATGGTAGTGACCCAAGTCCTCCATATAGAGAAGATTGCAAACATCATGAAAAGAAGATAGATCTGGCACAGTTGTTGGGCAGGGATGTACAAAGCCAGATAGATGATTCACAAAGTAAGATAAAAACAGGACTATAAAGGAATAAAGAAAGGAAACAAAGAGCCGAGGTGGCGCAGCAGTTAGGGTGCAGTACTGCAGGCCACTTTAGCTGACTGTGTTCAGCAGGTCAGCGGTTCAAATCTCACCGGCTCAAGGTTGACTCAGCCTTCCATCCTTCCGAGGTAGGTAAAATGAGGACCCAGATTGTTGGGGGCAATGTAAATATATATATATACATTGCTTACTGGTATACACCGCTTAGAGAGTGCTTGCACTTAAAGCGGTATATAAGTCTCATAAATAAATAAAGAATAGCTTCACGAGCACTCATTGTTACAATTAACACTGATACATTATGCTGTAACTTTTTCATTACAGTGTGCTTATGTTCAACCTTGATGAACGGATATGAAGCTCTGCAATGCAGACATCTTACATGGCTGAATGGAATTTACCAAATAGATGTGTTGATGGAACATAACAGTATATTTGGGAGCTTTTCCACAGTCGTCAAATAATTACTTCCCGCCACCATTTATTCATTTCAGAAAATCACTAATTATTGCAAGACCTAAAATACTACAAAGTGGTCAGGCAAAGCAGGTTTCAAAAGAGAAAAGAGCCTTCCAATGAAAAGGAGAACAAACATTTCCAAAGTCCAAAGATGGTTGTAGGAAGCTCTCATCTGTAGGAATCTCAGCAAGCTTCTTAGTATTAAAAATGTGAATTCTTACATATGTTATTATCCTAACATTCATTCATTTATTCACTCATTTCCATCCATCCATCCATCCATCCATCCATCCATCCATCTATTCATTCATTCATTATTTTCTCCAATTGCCCAGGGTGTCTCTCCTTATTTGATCATTACAAGAACTGTGTAAGGTTAGGCTGACAAAGTACAACTGGCACAAAGCCACTCCTGGCACACTGCCACACCATAACATAGTCAAATAATTTGCAAAGATTTTAGCATGAAAAGCAGCCCCTATTGTACTGAAAAGATGATTGAAGATGCAGTTCAACCTATTGCAAAAGATCTATCATTGGTAGGTTGATCATCATTCTTGATCATGGAAACAGGATGCTAAATTATGCCACTTACAAACATCTCAGCCGTTCAGTTGGTTCAATTAGCTTCAGTCTTTCAACTTACGGCACATCTGGTGTGGCTGTCCAGTGTCCTAGAGAGCATTTCTGGTGAGAGGCAGAATGCCTACATAGTCTACTAACTCACTAGCTCATTTGTGGAAAACAAAAAAAGCGATGCAATGAGATGGGGGGGGGGAACCCCTAAAAAGAGATCCTACTTTAACTGGAGCCAGCAAGTCACTTCTCCAAATCCACTTTCCCTTCCTGAGCTCCAGGCATTTTTTTCTGACCTCTGTTGAATTGGAGCAATGAAAATTTAAGCCCAAGTCTTTTGCTTTAAAATCCACATTCTATTTCAGACACAATTAGGTAGAACAACAGTGATTAGGTCATATATTTGGGTATTTGGAGCTGTTCAGGAAAATCCACTTTGTCTCTGATTTCATCAGAATATCTCTTCCTACACACGCATACATTTTGATACTAATATACTGAATCAAGGCTTGCAACTTTCCTGGTTCTGTAAGAGTCTTTCTTCTAATCACCTCATTTTCACATACATATCCAGTTTATCCAAGACAAAATGCACAACACACTGAAAATGTTTATAAAGTGCCCTGTACCAAACCTTAAGCAATGGTAGCCTGTGTCTGTGTCTCTCTCTCTGTGTGTTTGTGTGTGTGTAATGTATTTTCCCCTGTAGCTTAAAAATCATAACAAAAAAGCATCCCTCTCTAAAAAAAAAACCCCACCCTTTTGCCTCTCCCCCCACATTATGAAGATCTAGCAGGTCAGAAATTAACTATGAACAATTGAGTTAACAGGTTGTTTACTGGGATTTAATTAACTATGAACAATTGAGTTAACAGGTTGTTTACTGGGATTGACTGAAAACATAAACCAGGTCAAACTGTCTTCAATCATCAAGCCTGTTTAACTATGATTAAGCCCTGCTGGGGTTTGCAGTCCTTATCTCTCTGCAACTACTGAATCCGCTGAGAAAATAGCAGGGCTGGGACTAAAATTTGAAGTCTGTAAGCCTTGAGAACTACAATTTATTTTTCTTTTGTTGGCCAAGTCGGCAAAATATAGAAACACTGCACAAGAAAGATAGCTGTCACATAGAGCCTTATAAAAAAAATGTGGCTTTCAAAATAAAACACAGAGTTTGCTAAAATGTAACCACTATCCAGTCCCCACCCAAGAAACAAATTGTTTGAACTGTAGCTAATTGGCAAACGACAGATTTGATGTACCTTGTTTACATATATTTCATATGAGCTGGCGTAAACAATGGAAATGCTTTTAATGTTCCAAAATGAGATGGTTTACAAGTTCACTTTGCATACTTTATTAAGGACGCTTGTAGCTAAAACACCAAGAATGAATTGAAAAAAGTACAAAGTTCATTTGCAAAACGAAATTGTTTGGAAGACTGGTTTGCGGTAAACATGACGAATCATATTGGTTTCCGTAAGTAAAGAAAGTTTCCATTTTCCATGTATAATGATAATAATAATCAAGCCATAGCTATGGCTTGATTATTATTATCATATCATATTTTAATGAGGTTTTTTTATTATTAAAAATCAAATAATAGAACTTGCCTTGAAAATGAAGTGGGCAATTACTACCCAGGCAAAACAAACTGTTGTAAGTTGGTATGAACGGATGAATTCTTAAGTTAGGAATCTGTCTTTAAAAAAATGGATTGTTTAAAAACCATTTCAGGATGGTTTCCAGAGACCTGAAAAGAAGAGGAGGCAGGAGTCCAATTGGGAACAGAAACGGGAAGACATCCAAAGGTGCCTCGTGGATTTATATAAAGGTTTGGGTTAATCTCTCCCAATAGATTGCTCAAAATTAGCCAGTGAGCTCTGCAGAGGAGTGTGGTCTGAATTCTGGATATCCCAGCTGAATTTAGGGCCAAGTGCTACTTTTCTAGCCTTGATTTCAAACAAGTATATACATTCCCATATGGATAGCCAAATACTGGTTGAAATTTCCTGCAGGTGTTCCTCAAGAAAGACGATTTCCTCTAAAAATAATGAGACTGCAGCTTTAGTAAATTGTTCTAAGATGTCCATTCAGCAATGCTTAAGATTTGGGGGTGGATGTGGGTGGGTGGGAAATAGGAAATAGCCCATTGAAACTTGCTAGGCAATGCATTATTTTCAATATATTTTCTTTACAAAGGAAAAGAAAACACCATTATCCAGCTTTGTTTTTGAATTATAACAGTTTATTTATGCATTCTTACTGGTTAGGAAGACATTTTTTTTAAAAAAAATAAAAACAATAAAGGATTTGACTATGTCGCAAAGCTCTATATTTTAAAAATTGTGGAGACCATGTCTCTCCTTGGAGGCTTAGGTGGCGGGATTTTAGGTAAGAGCTCTTGAGCATAAGCTGTGCTATGAAGTCCAGCTTCTCGGAGAGCCAGCTCAACACGAACTCGGGTATCAGAAATTATCTGAATAAAAAAATAATACAATATGTCAATACAAGCCTCATATAATAACTCGCTGCAGTTAGAATCTATTCCAAGTCATGCCTCAGGAACACGGCCACCCCTCTGGTATTAGGTAGATAATTTGTGCCTAGGGTTATAAACATTTTAAATAATGTAACTGGAACCAGCTATTCTAATCTTCCCAAACTTTTAACTCTAATTCTTAACTTTTAAATGTTAATTCTTATTTCAAATTAGTTACTGTAATTCTTAGTGTTTATTGGACACCCCTTTCTCTACATTTCTGGCTGATTTCAGCTATTTCATACCTTAGAACGTTATGTGCTTAGCTGCTTTTTAGTTGTGTTGCACTTATCCTGCTTTGTACATTTCTTTCAATGTTTACTTTTAATCCTTATGCTTCTAGAACAGTGTTTCTCAACCTTGACCATTTTAAGGCATGTGGACTTCAACTCCCAGAATTCCACAGCCAGCATTGCTTGAGAAGGTTGAGAAACACTGTTCTAGAATACTCTTTATTGATATTGCTCTATCAGAGTCCAGGCTTAGTCTTATTTGTGCATATACAGTATGCTGGTCTTAGTTGGCAACACTCACAATTTGATTTGAATCAGTAGAAATGCTATTTTTGAACACTGTCTGAATGACTGGCTTCTCCTGTGCAAATCAACTGGTGATTTCAAATGCCAGCCTGTGCCCTACCACTCCAGAAACACTTAAAATGGGCTTTTTTGGTGCCTACTCCCAAGCTCTGGAACTCTGCCAAGGAAGATAGAGGAGTCACACTTTACTTGTTCTTCTGCTCTACGTTTTTCATGCAGACAATGCTTGGGTTCACAGATTGCCCTGTGATGAAGTGTGCTTGCTTTTGGCTTACTGCATGGCTATTTATATAAGAATGGCAACCTGCTGCACAAGCTACACACCTGCTCGGCATTGAATGTATGCAATACAAACAGAGGTTTCTGTAGAATAAATTCTTCTTCGGTTCCAATACCCATCCGTGCCTTAGAGGCCACTGTATCAGCCACCATCCGAGCAGGATCAAATTCTGCCACAATAGCAACCTGAAGAAAAAAGCAAGTAGGGACAATTCACTTATACTCCTGTTTTTTTCCCATTTTCTTGAGTAAGGTATAAAAAAATTCTAAAGTTACAGTATCAGAACATTACAGTCCAAAAGTAAGCAAACAGGCAATTCAAATCCAAGAACTTCACCTGTGTCCTGCCATCCCTACCCCCATATTATCATATTACCAAGATGCCCAGCAAAACCACCAAGAATAAGATCTCCAGTTTGGCTCCTGATGTAGATCATGCATCAAGGATGTTCAAGGACTGTCTCAGTCCTATATCTAGAAATTGAAATTTCCAAATCTGGAAATCAGATTGAAATCGATAAAGGTAAGGCTTTAAAAATAAGCATTTTCAACTAACTTCAGAATATAGTGATAGCCAATACCTTGTGAATCTAGGAGAGAAGTCACATGCTCCAATTATCTGCCACATCAACATTTGAGCAGTCATAGTTTACAACAATGGAATTTACTCAGTTATCTTCCAAGGCACCGTTATATATTTGTCCAATAATTCTCAGAAGTATATAAATACTAAGCCAAGGTCTATCTCTTCAGATAGTTTGACACAAGAGCAGTATAGGTAGTTCTCAACATACCACCACAATTGAGGCCAAAATTTCTGTTGCTAAGTGAGACAATTGTTAAGTGATTTTTGCCCCATTTTATGACCTTTTTGCCACAGTTAAGTGAATCCCTGCAGTTGTTAAGCTAGTAACATGGTTGTTACTGAATCTGGCTTCCCCATTGATTTTGCTTATCAGAAGTGGTCACATGATCTCAGGACACTGCAACAGTCATAAATATGAACCAATTGTCAAGCATATGAATTTTGATCACATGGTCATGGGTATGCAGCAACAGTCATAAGTGTGAAAAGTGGGTCATAAGTCACTTTTTTCGGTGGTGTTGTAATTTTGAACAGTCACTAAATGACCTGTTTATTGTAAGTTGAGGACTACTGTAATTGTAAACTGTTAGAAATCATTTGTAGTCATCATAGCTATTAAAGTTTACTCTGTTGATCCACTTGTGCACCTCTTTTCTCTAACCACAATATCTCTTAGTTTTAGTCTTAGGTTTTGGGTTCATCTATCCCGAAACAATCCGCAAACATTGGTCCAAAGGCTCCACTTCCTTCCTGGGATGAGCAATTAAAAGTGATCAAGCTGAGTGTAGAATTTATGTTTCAGGACAAGACAAAATCTTAATTTGTATCCAACTCACTTCTGAGAAACAGCTTTGCCCAAAGTAGCCATGAAAATGGCTCTTGAGGAGAAATGCGCCACAGAATGGAGATGACTGAATCTGTGTAATGCAGAACCCTCAGATATTGTACCTCAGATCACTCCTCTTATTATGGAGTCAGAGTTGGAAGTGATCTCAAAGGTCATCTAATCTAACTCCTTGCTCAGTTCTGACAGAAGGCTATCCCGCTTTCATCTCAAGGTCACCAATGAAAGGGAACTATCATTTCATGATTTTTATATCATTTGCAAATCTCATGTTTATCCCACCAACTGTTTCACCCATATCGTTAATAAAAAGTGTGGAAGAGTGTTTGTTTGACCAAAACACAGCCGTGTATCATTCCATTTACTACTTATTCTACAAGCTGGTGTGGAACCATTTAGTCATCATCCAGGCAATAAAATGAAACCATCTATCAGTTGCATCATTCAGCCCATATTTTCCCATTTTATTATGGAAGGCATAAGGGGAGGCTTAATTACATCAGCTTTCCAGTCTATCAAGGATTGATACCGGATATTTTTTCCATTTGGTTGGCATTCTAAACTAAGCATGATGACAAATAAAAAATTACTTCCCTTCCTTCAGTTTCTACCATTTTAACTGGCACGTACACCAAAAGGATGCAGGAACTGGCTTTTAAAAAAACCTTTATTACTAATGAAAATAGACCAGAAAGCATTGAAAATGACTAACAGTTCTGCTTTCATCTGATGAGTCACCACAGATATTAAAGCAATGACACGGAGAATTTATGCAGAACAAATAAATGTAGTTCACTTTCTAAAACTCTCATATTTGTAGCTGTTGTGGTTTCTTGGAAACGCCCTGAGATAAAATTGGTTTTCAAGTTTTCATCCGCACGGACTGGAGTTCAAACGTTTATGAAAAAAATAATAATAATTGGTAATCAATTGGATGTTTTGCTTAAATATACCCCATTTCCTTTAATTTGCAGTTTAAAATTTCTTGTCATTATGCAACAGAGGCTAGATTTGGGGCAATTTATTTATTTATTATTATACTATTATTCCATGTTTTCAGATAATTGTTTCCCAAGTGGATCATGCCAATTAAAAAAAAAAGAAGATCCTGCCTTTAGGATTACTGTCCAAAAAGATCAAATGTATGGGGAGGGGAATTGGAATGAAAAGAAGGGAGATCTGTTTCTCAAGTCCCCCTTCCCTGGGAAAAAAAAAGACCAAGAAATATGAAGGAGTAATTTACATGCAACAACGGCTGGACTGAATTTCCCTTCCTGGCTCTCTCGCTTTAATAACAATATGAGCTTCTTGTTCTTTTGGCCTATGGGTAAGGCCAAGAACCGCCCCCTTCAACTCTGTATTCCCAGGGCATCCATTTAAAGTAAGAGCTATGGATGTCAGGCAACCGATTTTACGATTCTGGAAATGTAGATAACAATAATAACCCCCCAAAGCATCTCACTTTAGAAGGGACTTCTTGAATGCTAGGCAGCCACCATACAGAGAAACATGTACGTTGACCCTGGATTTGCCTGGGTCATCTGCCCACTCACTTTCTGTCTTATTTTGTTACATGTTGTGCCCCAAATCATTTTATGCTACCGAAATGTTTTGTCATGCAGTATATGTAGATGCGGGCTAGTGGCATTTGGACAGAAAGAAAACTAGCAAGAATGTAGAACATAAATCAACCTGAAATGTTCCTGACATATCTAATCAAGTGACTGAGGAAAAAAGACCAAGAAGTGACGAAGAGAGCATTTTGATTGTGGCAATTGAGACCAGAATTTGCATTGCTAAGCAACGTGATTGTAAAGCCCGATATCATGTGACTGTGATGCTTAACAATGGAAATTCTGACATTTCTGGTTGCTAAGTTTTTAAGTGTACCACTGTGGGTCATTAAGTGAGGTCATCACATTGTCGCTATTTGTGACTTCCTGCTGGTTTCCCCATTGACTTTGCTTGTAGGAAGCTGGCAAAAGTCGCAAATGATGATTGCATGATCATGGGATGCTGTGATACCATATCTGTGAGCTGGGTCCCCGGATCGCAATCACATGTCCATGACAGATGCTGCAACTGACATAAGTGTGAGGACTGATCAAAACTACTACTCATCCAATATTGTTCTAAGTTCAAATGGTTGCTGAATAAGCGTTCATTAAATAAGGACCACCTGTATACGGTAGTTTACATTTGCTGGTCAAAGGTAATTTTAAAAATCTGGTTCTGAAAGGACAAGTTTCTGTACACATAAATTCAGGTGTGGCAGTTCAGAGTAACTATAGCTTTTAGTTTAAATTCAGAAAAACAACTGCTGCTTCATCTCCACAGGCCACTGCTTGGTTTTTAGAAAAAGAATTGATGAAAGATTCTTTGTTTTGCTGCTGTTGCCAAATTTGGCAATCAGTAATAGCCTGTGGATTACTGAGAGATATTCTATTGCTGCATTACCTGTATGCTCCAGGATCTGCACTACCTATTTTCTCCCTAGCTGATTTTCGTTGTCTACCTCACAGTTGACTTTTACAGCCTTAAATAGCTTGGGGAGCCATTTAGATTGCCTTTCCTAGTCTGTCCTAATCCAGCTTTCGATATTTCAGGAGGAGGCTTTAGCCATGATGGACAATATTCATGAGTAATTTATCTATGCAAAGGCCTCATCAAGTGTGGCTCCTTGTCAGGGATGTCCACCTTTAAGTGCATTAGGAATCACAGTCTAGTCAGCTTCATAAATTGCTCGTAGCACATCTTTCCACCCAAAATTTGGGACGCTTTTGCTGCTATTGGTTTTAAAAGTGTAGGGTTTTAAATAACCAGACTAATGTTTTTGATTTCTAATGCTGCAAATTTGCTTTCTTTTGTAATGTCCTCTAGGACAGCGGTTCTCAACCTTTTTATACGGTGACCCCCGGTCACACGGACGCGGTGCGCATGCGCGGCGGCGCCCCATGTGCGGTGCGCATGCGCAGCGGCGCCCCCTGAGGGGGAAAAATGGTGGATCGCGTTGTTGGGCGACCCCCGTAAAATGGTCGTTTGACCCCAAATGGGGTCGCGACCCATAGGTTGAGAACCGCTGCTCTAGGATGCTCTAAAAATCAAAATCCAATAATCCAGTCTGCTCTGATTATTTGCATTGCAGTACAACAATGATACCCTCCAGGATGGAAAATTGACCAAGATGCCACATGATTTTCCGATTTCATGCATCTTCTTCTCTGACTTGGCAGCCAGAGGAAGTCAATAAATTCTGGGTTGTGTCTACTGGCACTTGGCGGACAAAAGCTGCCCACAAGCTAACAGCTACTCCAGGGAACATCTCGAAGAAGAACTGCTGGTGGTTTTCTCCCCAAAAAACCAATAAGGATCTGGACTCCAAAGGAATCTGTTTAATTTTCTCTATGACTGGCAAGTATTTCTCAATGGTCCAGACCAAAGCTAGGAACAATTTAACCACCAGTTAAATATAAAAATTACAATCCAACGTTAACAAGCCAAACCAAGCTGTTGCTGTTTTACACTGCATACTGCAATAGGACAGTGCAATATTACCATTCAAGAAACAATGTCAAAAGCTGAAAAAAGTCCTATCAAAAATTCTATACCAGCAGATTCATACAAACAGAGCATTTGTTGCAAAACGTAGTTTAGACAACAATGAAATGAATTTTACATGGAACAGCTATGTATGCCATGTGAAGAAAAAGAAGAGAAGAGTTCAGTTTGATGCAGGAAAGAAACTAGATTCTATCTCAGGGGTGTCAAACTCAATTTCACTGAGGGCCACATCAGCATTGCAGTTGCCCTGGGGGGGCTGGTGGGTGTGGCCAGAGTGGGTGCAGCCTACTGCAGTTGCCTGGAGGGGCCAGGTGGCATGGATGGAGTGGGTGTGGCCTACTGGGTGGGCAGGCCCAGTTCTACATCATTCGCATCAAGATTGCCTATGGGGCCTGGGCAGGAGTGGGACAGATCTGAGGGTCTCTGGCAGAAGGGGGTGGGACCAGGCAAGTGCCAAGGCATGGTCTACTGGGGCAAGTGCCAAGATGGCCATCACAAAATTGTACATTGGCTCCTGGCGGGCCTGGCCAGGGCCAAGGCAGCGGGGGCCGTTCCCTCATTGTTTCCAGAATGGCTTCGCGGGCCACATGAAACCACTTTGTGGGCCGCATCTGGCCCCCGGGCCTTGTGTTTGACACGTCTGTTCTATCTCATCTTATATCTTCAAACAGAGGGAGCATGATTTGGTGTCTTTGATCTAAGTAACACTACACAAGGCAACCTAACATCACATAGTTAAGATGCCTGATACAAAGCAATTCAATATGCTAATGGTTATAAAAACAGGAATTACTATTGATTGTCAGATGCATCCAACTAGGATTTCTTGGCCTAGTGTCATATTGTTGTGTTGGGTATCACAATCATCTAAGCTCTTTGTGACTACTGGAAAAGCATCTCCAGATGCATGTAGCATGTTTCTTTCTGAACGGTTGCAAATGAAGTGACCAGGCATTTTCTGCCAATCCTCAACTGCTATGCCTGTAATGCTTTGATGGCTGTAGCTCAATGTTCATGACCATGAATTAAGAACCATTAAATACAATGAAACATATTTTTGAGTAAACATTCATGGAACTGGACTGTTAAACCTCAACTTCTCAAAGATTTCAAGGAACAGGACTTATATCTACGACATTTCTTAAATGAGAAGGGTGAAGAAGCATGCTTGCTGTAGGAGCGATGGACTGGATTGTTTTTCTTTTTTAGGGGGTTACAGATTCTACAAACCCAGCAGATGTAAATTTCAGCAATTTACATGGATTCTGATGCAATTTGGTGGCAGCCTTCTACTGGGTTGGAGACTCATTCCAGTGCAATCACTTGCATTGCCTAAGACTCAGCAGGCAACACTACATTAGCCTTTGCAGCTATAAAAATGTTTGAGGTTGAAACTTTTACAAAGTTTGTCTGAATCATAATGGGAAGATCTGTCAATATCAGAAATATATACATATATAAACATCCATAGTGTCAGAATATTGTTGATTTTGAAAAGGAACTTGTTGTTTGTAAGAAAAGTGACTAACTGGGAAATGAGATATATTCGTTCCAAATATACAAATATTTCCCTTGAAAATTAACCATTGGAAAGACTTCTTCCAACCACTGGACTAGGCTGGATCGCAAAATTATGTACATTTCATTCTTTTTACTTTCATCAATATAAATCTTGCTGCCAAAAAACTGATAATCAAGGAAGACAGGGACAAAGAAATACATTTATAGATATGAGGAAACACTTAGCTCTCTAATGCTATTGCTTTTAGCCTTTATTTGATTCTTTTGTGCAGAGTAAAAATATCCTGTTGTTATAGAAGAGAATATAAATATTTCAGGATTGCACCATGGAGTCCTTGGTGTACCACAGGGCATCACCATAGCATGCAAATCAACTAAAGGCCAGCAAAACATCCTTTTTTAAAAAAAAAATAATTATTTTTTATTTTTCCAAACTCTCCCCCATATATATACTGTGATATTTATCATATGTTAACATACATTCTTTTTACATTCATATATAAGATACTTTTAATAAAATGAAATAAATACATACACATGACTTTTGGTGTTGCTCGCCCATTTCCCCTTTCACTAAATCCACACTCCTTCTTCTCTACCTTCTTTCTCCCTTTCTTCTCTTCCCTACTTCCCTCTTCTTCCTCTCCTCTTCTCTTTCCTTCACCACTTCTCCCCACTTCTCCTCTTCTCCTCCAACCTTCCTACTTCCTTCTCCCCTTTACTCTTTTCTCTCTCCTCTCCTTTCTTCCCTCTCATCCCTCTTCAGATACAATTCAGGGGTAATGTCCGAGCAACTCCTCTCTCCAAATTTCCCTATCTGTATTATATACAATAAGATTAATTTTCTCTTACATTAATACTTCTATTTATCTAACCTTCTCGATATATACTTCTATAAATATTTATACAACCTTCTATAAATATTTATACAACCTTCAGTTATTCAATACTGTGTCGCCTGGGTCTCCTCCTTATCTGCTCCTTCTTCTTCCATCTAAATCAGTGGTTCTCAACCTTTTTAATGCCGCAACCCCCAACCGGTCGTAAGTCAAGGAGTACCCAACCGGTCATAAGTCAAAGATTACCCAACCGGTTGTAAGTCGAGGACTTTCCCTGCCCGGGAGCGCCGCGCATGTGTGGTACCGCCCCCTGTGCCGGCCGAGGCGTAACTGGCAAGGGGCAGCGACGGTGCAGGGTGACCACCGGCTGGGCCACCAGCTGGCCCAGCCCAAGGCAGGTAAGGCACCCGCCAGGTCCCACACACGCCAGCAACCTTCCCTGCGCCCGCCGCTGCCCTGCTAACCTTACTTTGGCCACCGCCCATTCGGGGGGGCGGCAGGCAGCCCAGGCGCTCCTGGGCGGCCATGGCAAGCGGCAGCGACGGCGTAGGCCAACCACCGTCTGGGCCACCAGCTGGCCCAGCCCAAGGCAGGTAAGGCACCCGCCGGGCCCCACGCGTGCCAGCAACTGTCCCTGCACTCGCCGGCCTCCCACCCCCCACCCCTGGTCCTCTTTTACTTACATTTTTAGTAGTTGCTCAGCAGGGAGGGGTGGAAGCTTCCAGACAGCTTGCCTTTGCTGCAGACAACGTGCAGCACCATTTGCAGACTGGGGCTTTTGGCGGGCTCATCAGGGCAGAGACAGCCTGGACAATTCCTATAGGCTTTCGAATGCCAATAGAATACAGTCTCTTGAATAGAGTCTATTCTATTGGTTTTCAAAAGCCAATAGAATAAGAGGGAGTAGCACAGCTAAAGAAAAGGGGAAAAAATGGTGGACAGCTTTGTTTGGCGACTCCTGTGAAATGATTGTTCAACCCCAAATGGTGTCGCGACCCACAGGTTCAGAATCACTGATCTAAATTGATGTTAACTATCTTTTAACCGTATTCTCTTTTCAGCCAATCATAAAAAGTTTCCCAGATTTCATAGTAGTCCGACTCTGTCTTATATTTAATTGTCCTTCATTTCTGCACATTCCAGTATTTTCCTGTTAGGTATTCTACCAGGGAAATACAATAAATAGAAAACATATTTAATTATTCATATAATTACGGCAGCCAGGATTGTGTTTGCACAAAATTGGAAAGCACTGAAAGCCCCCCCAGAGGGAGAGGTGATTGGGAAAATACTGGAATGCCAGCAAAACATCCTAAGTAAGCTAAAAGATCCCAGAAAGGAAAAATAACCCCGAGACCTATCTACAAAATAGAGTGTAAGAAGTGTAATAGTCACTAGGTAGGAGAGAAAATTAGCAGAGCACATCCATGAGCACCAACTAGCAGTCAGAAGATATGACGAAACTCCTTAATCTCACAATACATAGATAGACTCAACCATAATTTCAACTGGGAAACTAAGCATCTTAGTCAAAGCACAATCAAAAAACACTAGAGGATTTCTGGAAGTTTGGCATTCAGACAAATCAGCCATCACCAGACACACAGAGATAAGCCACATTTAAACACCATTCAAAAAGATAAAATTAAGATAGGACCCAGACAGCACGTTGTTTATTAAGCATTTATGAAATGTAAACACACACAGAGATAGAGAGAGAGAGATAAACAGGGATTAACACAATCAAGATCAACCAAGCAATACCCTAATGAAGGAACTACTAAGTAGAAAACCATTTTTACACTATCCAATACCCAGAGTTCTGTGAATGGTATTACAATCCATGGATGCCTCTGTACCTCTGGGGAAAGAGGCAAAAAGGAAAGGAAAAAGCATATTGATAGCAGTCAAGAATTGGCTTTGCGTTAATTTCACCCATGTAGAAAATAATTAAGTCTAGTTCTAGATTAATGGTCAAAGCCTTCTGCTATGTGGACTTCACATATTAAGAATCAAAGAGTAATTATTTCAAATAACAATAACAATGTTGTATGTCAAAATACACAATGACATATACAATGAGCTATAAAGGAGAAGGAATTTTTCCTCTTTTCATTTTGTGGCAGACTGATGTCTCAATTAAATGTTATGCTGAGCCTCAATTGCCCATAAAGACAGACAGTGAAGATACCTGTTTCCTGAGAGCATCAAGGCGCTTCTTCCTTTCTTCTTCTTCTTGGGCTTCCTTGAGGATTGCCACTTTTTTCTCCATCAAATGCTTTTCCAACAGCTTTTGCCTAAACTGAACTCTTTGAACAAAGAAATCCCAAAAATCAATGTCATATTACTCATCTGCCTTCTGATATTATTTTACTATTCAGCCAGCTATTAGGAACAATTAAGACCTTAATTAAAGAAGAATTATAAGCTGTCATTTGTCTAGGAAACTTTTATGTTACAGCAGTGTTTCCCAAACTTGACAATTTTAAGGCATGTGGACTTCAACTCCCAGAATTCCACAGCCAGCATTGCTGGCTGTGGAATTCTGTGAGTTGAAGTCCACATGCCTTAAAATTGTCAAGTTTGGGAAACACTGTGTTACAGTAACAATTTCAATGCTATTCAGATTTATTCAGGCGAAAATATTAAGTTCAATAAGCATGCATAGGATTGGACCACGAATGTTTTCATTTTGTAGTAAACATTATTTGTGTACAAATAAATAAATGTTTTAAAATGCATTTAGATGGCTTATCACCCAACGCACTGATAAATTTTATTGCAATTATCCACATCTACCATAGCCCAGACCCAAATAACTAACTGATACTTGCTAACTGAAGAAGAATCACACAAAGTCAGGTCGATGCTGACGATCAAAAACCATGGCAAGCCAACATCTGTCTTATCAACAAATGTTTATGTACACAGGCCCATATGCAAATTTCAAAGCCACTAGCTAATTTGAAAAAATATGACTGTATTCCCTCCATGTTACTAGCAAAATATCAGCCTTAATCCAAAATAGTGACATTGGAAGTATGTACGTCTTGCTGAAATTAATGAAATGATACCAGGCTACATACAAATGGTTAAGATGAACTTTTTATACCTTTAGATAGCTACAAAATTGGTAAAATTGCCTCTATACAAGAAATAATTCCTTTGAAACAGGGAATGATGTTTACTGCTTCATCCAGAGTCACTTTTGGTAAGATGGGTGACTATATAAATAAATGTAACTAAATAAATAAAAGTTAAGCAACAATTAGTTTTAGTGTGATTTATAGTTAGCTATTAGAGGAGGGTTGTGTAACAATAAAATAATCCCATTAAATCAGGGTTCCTTCTACTGGTTCAAACTATGATATATCTAATATATTATTAAATTTTAACTGAATCTTTATTTGGGACAGAATAGATATATCTTTTACCAGCTAAGTCCTGGGAGTTAAATACCATGCCAAGCCGAATATTTTTATGTAATTTCTGAAAGTAGTCATGGTCAACGGAAAACTGATAAAAAGGAGAATCCTTTCAAATGATTTAAATAAATGATCCTTATTTCCATTTACAATGTCCTTAGCTCACTTTTTCTTGAGTTTAATTGTATCTTCAAAATTAGATTTCATGCTGAAGCACTGTGGATTACTCAGAGACCTGAAAACCGAGGATGTTCACAAGAACTTATATAGATGATATAGGGAAGAAAACCAAATGAAGAATTCACAACTTCATCTCTCCTATGACATTTACATCATGAATATAGTCTGTGATCAGCTACCCATAAAATCACAGAAACAGGCACCTGACATGTCTATTGAGATATGCACTGATAAGTGAACACTTTAAATATAATTAATTAATAGATCTCAAAAGCAGTTCTATGAAGATAAGTAAGTTCCCCTGAAGCACTAAAATCTTTTGTTTCAAATCTGAAAGAACTGCAAATAGCTGGGGAGAAGGGAAACTCATAAACTTTTCCTTCCTTCCTTCCTTCCTTCCTTCCTTCCTTCCTTCCTTCCCTTCCCTTCCCTTCCTTCCTTATTCCCTTCCTTCCTTTCCCCTTTTCCTCCCCCCTCCTCCCCTTCCCTTCCCAAAAAATAAACAGAGTGAAAAGACTCAGAGGAAGCTACAGATATTGCTGTAACTTTTCTCTACTGGGCACCTTCCAAAAATGTTGATCTTGTCCACATCAACAGAAAGTGACTAAGAAAATATAGCAAAGGAAACTCTAGGGGGAAAAACTGAATTAAGTGCATTTGACGCACAGAGACCTCGCATTTGTGTACTCATGTCTGGCAACTCCAGCGAATAACGTTTTCAAAATCTCAGCGGGGGGGGGGGCAGAGGATTACCCGAGCCAGCCAGCCATGTGGGGTCTCAACTTCTTTCATCTGGCAATTTAGCTGGGAAAGAGAAAGTCTGTTTGGATTAGAATCCAGACTAATGTAAGAACAATCACGGTGGGTTTCTCTGTTACATTTCAGATACACGAAGCCATGAGCAAATACTACAAGGCCCATCTAGTGAAAAAGAAAAAGGGAGAGTCAGCTGGCAGAGGGGTTGGGGGTGGGGTTGAAAGGAAGTACACTATTTGATTTCTGCCACTGAAGAGAGGAGCATGTGCTCTGTGTGAGTGAAAAAAGGAGGGAGAGTTGTACACCTGTTGCTGGAAATTGCCTTGAGGATCATTTCACTAAAAAAACCAAAATATAAGCTTCCTAAAAATTATGGGATGATGACTCAGGCTCAGTTATGTGGAATTGGATGCTGCAGTATCTGATGTGAAATGGAAGCTACTGAAGACCGGTTGTTCCTTTTTGAAAAGAAAGAAAACATCTTTTTTTAAAAAAAACCTTTTATGCATGAAAGAATTAAGCACCATGCCTCAAACCATTATCCCTCTCTCTTTACTTAATTGCAGTCACTCATCATTCTCAGAGATTCACCTCAGCCCCCATAGCTTTTGGACTTTTGCATTATTAGGGAACCATTTAATTGAAATGGTTAAAGCCATTTAAATATCCCTGAAGAAATCAAAATGTGAAAGCCATGTTCATCACTGGAGTATCACCAGTTAGTTCTTAGGTTCTTAGTTTTTTAGAACAAAATCTTCAGACAAAATCTTTAGGTAGGACTTTAATCTCCCAATGGATTGAGGACTGGAGTGGGGATACAGTATGAGATTGTTTCTTTTTTTAAAGTACGATCACATCTGCTCTATAAGTACAAATCATACTAAAATGGAAAAAAATGCAGATTTTTTAAAATACTGCTGCCAATATTAAATAGATGTATTAAATAAATAATGTAGTATTAAACAGAGTTGTTTGGTTTAGTGTTGAAGGCACCCATAAGAGTGAAGGAGAGAGGGGGGGGAACCTCATAAAAGAGGCATGGTGAGAACTGGTCTAGAGTTGACTCTGATGCCTTTAGGCTCCTAAGGTTTCTTAACTCTTTCCCATTCTCTATCTCTGGCGGAAATTTAAACCAGACATTTGCCTCATGTAGAAAAAAACTGGAACTGGCTGGACAGACCTAATTCTCTATCCATTCTCATTTTTATCTTACTAGGCTACAGAGAAGCAGGAGTTTGGAATTGTTGGAGGATTCCAACCTCAAAGTATAAAAAGATTATAATAAAAGATTGGAAAAAAAAGAGAAAAAAAAGTGTCCATAGTGCTTTATCAGACCTATAGGAAGGTTGGAGGTTATTCTTTCCTTTCAATTGAAACTGACAGAATTTGAAAGCACATAACGATAGAACTACACTAGAAAGTGATTTCTAACCTCTTGCTAATGACAGAGTACTTGAATAGGATTTAAAGAAAAGACAGCATAACTACTTATCACTGATGAGAGTCACATCTCCAAGGCAATCTGTTGAATATTCAGCAATATTGCTGAATAGCCTATATAATCAGAAATTTATTCCTTGGATTTAGCTTAAATCCCTTGTTAGAAATTTAAAATTGGGTCCCATCCCACTGAACCAGAGAGAATATATTTGTCTTATGGAACAGCCCTTTTAAAATAGCTGGATGCTACAAATCTATAGCTACAGATTAATATAGCTCAGTTATATAAGCTATAATTGAGTTATAGCAGAAGAAATCCTACTGCTTGTAATCTTGGAGAAAACAATTGCCATTCATGGTTCATAGCACTGGGATAGACGGAAGAATAACACAAATAGAAAGACCCATGTTCGGGCAAGGACATGGAAAATTGATTGGAAGTTAGTACCTACAAGAAGATATCCAGTGATCCTGGATTTATGAGTCTTTACATAAATTCTATACTATGCAAAATTTACCAGTATGTTGGTTCAGTTTTACAACAGTAGAAGATTGATATACAAAGGTGCGCAAATCATTTTGAAACTGAAATATTTCAAGCTCAAAATACTTTGAACTAGACCTACCTATTTGCAATTGAAAAAAAAAAAAAACTGTCCAACCTGATTGAGAGCATTCCAAGCTCACCATGTGTTTAGTATTTGAAACTTACCACACAACTTTACTGGTATGAATGGAAAAGACTTAAGGGGGCCAAAGTAAAACACTAGCCTACAACACTACTTCTATCTTGTATCTAGACTAAGATGACCAACCATCCTCCTTTAGGGAGGACAGTCCTCCTTTTGTAAGTTCTGTCCTCCCTTCAAAAGTGTCCTCCTACATGTCCTCCTTTTCGATATTTGAAGACTAATCTGCAGGGCTTTTTTTCCCTCATAGAATGCTCAGAATGGCACTACGGCACCTTTTTTTGATGGTTTTTTTTTCAACTTTTGCATGAGCTGTGCTACTCCCACTATTGGCTTTCGAAAGCCAATAGGAATTGCTGCTGAGCGCGCCAAAACACCTGGCTGGCAAACTTTGTACATGCAAGTTGTCTGTATTATCGTTGCAATGAATAAAATGTTTCTTTTATTTACAATATTTTTTTCTTAAATTTATTTGTGTCCTTCTTTTCATTGTAAAAAAGTTGGTCACCTTAATCTAGACCCACTGAGTCCAATGGCACTTACTCCTAAGGTACCGTACACACAATCTCAGGTTGAATGCATTTAATATTTTCTTTCCTTCTAGACAAGATTTTTGATATGGAATTACTCTGCTTGATTCATGGAATTACTAGGAGCCAAAATAACACCTTTTTCTATGTGTAACTACTAGAATGTTTTCCCACCGTTTCTCCTGTATCTTTTCATCCCAAATCCATTGAAGATTGAAAGAAACCTCCACAACATCTCTTGATAAGGAGTTTCAGGAACATTTTGCTTAGAACCACTTTGGGCTTTTGAGCCTTATAAGTTAAATAAAATAACGATACCTTTAAAAGAAAATGCATTAAAATGTTATCTCCAAGTAGATTTCTTCCCCCCCCCCCGTATAAATTTACCTCTCTTTGTCTTTGATGATCTGCTCAGCCATTAAGTTCTTAAATTCTGCCAAACGCAGGAGGTCTTTTGCTTCCCTCTCTTGCCACTTGCGCTGTTTTTCAGCCCAATATTTTTTCATCTAAGAATACAAAGTCATTAAAAATCTGGGAGGGGAGAGGGGAAGGAGAAACCCAACACTGGCTAATCACTACCTTGGTATCTATAAAAACAGTTTCACTCATTCATACCATACTGATATCCATTTGACTGCCCAAAAGACAATCTCAAATGCAAATAAGAAACGCTGGTTTGAAGTCCTGCTACTCTGAACTTATTGCAATACCATGTTTTCTTTTCCTCTCCTCTTTCAGGTACAGGTTTATAGTATTATATCATTGCATGTATCATATAGTGTTACATCATTGCACATATCAAAAAACTATCTCAAAATTCAGAAACCCAGCTATACTACTTCGGGGGGGGGGGGAAATCTCAATATATAAAAGCTTATAACAATAAATTCCAAAGGTCATCCCAACAAAGGAAATGCTAGATACCAGTATGTGAATGAAATTGCCACAGAAACAGAATGATGGTCAGTTGGATGTTTTTCTTTGTCTTCTTTTAAAAATAGGCCTGCAGCAGAATGACTACGGGCAAAAAAAAAAAAAAAAAAACCTCACAGGAGGTAGACAAAACAAGAAGGACAACATTTGGATCAGCAGCAAAAAAAGCAAACAGAACTCAAGAGTCTGTACTAAAATATGAAAAGATACATGGAAAATGTTCCAACACAGCTAGTAGTTTGGTCCAATATTTATAGAATGAATCCAACAAGTGTGGATGTGTTTGCTTTGAGCAAAGGCTAATTAACTGCACAGCATATCCTCTACTGCAGAAGAAAACAACTCACAACTGAGATAAACGAAAGGTTAATTAAATGGAAATAAACAATTCTTCTGTTGAATAAGCCCAAAGGGGTGTGGTATTTCTGTCTCCTATTAAATTCTTTAAAAAAATTTAAAAGTAAACAAGCAGCACTTTCTATAGGCTTTGTGGGCTGTCAATAGTTTGAATGAACTAGTAATAATAGAAACTAATGTAAGTGACAACTTCCAAATATTTCCACCTCCAAAAAACTCGCTGCAGCTATGCATTTAGAGGCTCCATCAAAGTAGCCAGCAGCTAAACATGAGTGAATGGACCTTCACATCCACACTTGAGGCAGGGCTTTGAAAGTCAATCCTGATGCCATTTAAGCCCTCACAAATTTAGGTTTGAATTCAAGAAGGGCATTCTTAAAAGTCCAGCCAGTGATTTCACAAGGGCCTGGAAGCAGGCTGCTGTAAAATTTTGAGAGGTGGGTCATTCCCAACCCCAACCTCACCTCCCACTGCATCCCATCTTCATCTAGTCTTTCTTCAGAATTGCTTGTTTGGTCTACAGAAATCAGTGATCCAATCGATTGGAGTAGGTAATATAAAATGTTGAAGAATATATTTCTGCAATGAAATCTACTGAACCATCTGATTGTATCAAAGCCTGGGTTTATACTGTACTTTTAGTATAAGCCTTTCTATGTGCGATCCATGGAACCACTGCTTCCTTCAGACTTTGCCTATGAGACCAGCGAGCACTGGTGCATTGCAGCAGATAAGATGACAGTTGGGATCAAGAGCTGCATTGTTGGAGCTGAATGCCAGAACAAGACAGGCACATGTAGTGAGAACAATATGAATTTGAGGCCCTGTTGCACATGGGCAAAGTTTCTGAATCACAGAATAGGAGATTTTGAAGGATATGTTTCTCTTCTCACCTGTGCCTTTAACGAGCCTTTCAAAGCACACACATACAGAGAGAGAGAGTGGTGGGGAGAGGTAAGAAGAAGCTTAAAGTTAGCCATCTGGTTAGAGGACTGGGAAAGGATGATATTATATTGAGTCCTCTGGTTGCCTTCTTCAAGGCTAAGCGCTCCAGCCTAGAGACCCCTCTTGGAATAATTGTGACAAAAACCGTGGAAAGCCAAAGTATTAGTAAGAAAGGGCAGCAATCTTGGGAGGGAAGTTTAGAGGAATATTTAAAGAGCAAAATAAGTCCATTTTATGAACACTACTCATACAAAAGCACCAACACATCCGACCAGACCAATTTATATATGCAAGTCATCTTCTGAATGTTTAGCCCCAAATAACACTATACATGAGAGCTGAATACACTTTTTAGACCTGCTGACACCATCACAGAATTTCATACAGTGTTGCAAGCATATGAAAATATATTCTCTCCTTCTCTCTTCCAAGGTTTCATGCAAGAACACAGCAGTCTTTCAAGATTTGCCCACATCTCACATTACCATTATTTTATTTATAAATCCAGCGAGAGATACCAGTAAGGAAGGCCTCACATTGCATCATGGAGATGGTTCAAATAATTTTAATACAGAACAGCCTAATGTTAATTTCTCCCTACAGCATGTAAGCATCTGTCAGAAATTATTCCCATATTGTTATTTCTTCCCCAAAAGGTAGTACTAGAACAGGCTAGAAATGCCAGTTATTACATTTAATAAAGGACTTTTTGTTTTGTTACTCCTGACCTTTTTTCATAATCCCATATAAAATATTGCATATGAATAATCAATGATGGCAGATACTTTCTCCATTATATAGCGATTAGTTCAGCAATTATCTTTGCAGTTACCAGAAAGAGATTGAAGGGATTGTGAACTGCAAAACTATTCTATTTGTTTCCCTGAAAACAAAAGCTGTCATTATACCTACAGCTCATTAGATGTCTGTCAGTCTCCCTACCTACCATAAGCATGTAACATTCCTAAGAGGAACAAAACAGTGATTACTTCCAGAGCTCTTGATTTATAATATTTATTCTAGACAGGGAGTGAAAGATAAATCATTCAGTTAAAATTAAGGTGCCAAATATGCTCCAATTTTTTATAACAAACAAAATTAAAAGCTTTATTTAAAAATCACAATACACATCCACACACACAGTTTGTATTAATGTATTCGGTATCCAGGACAGTTAAGGATATAAAAAATTTCTGGTTTTATTGTGTTACTTTATAAAATCTGACTATCTTGTCCGTTTTACCGAAGCTCCACAAGATTATCTATCTCTTCTTGAGAGTTTTCAAAGTCAGACTTACACTAGATGGCAATCTTCACTCTAAATGGGTATCTACAAATCTGCTGGGTTGGAGATGAAAGCAGCAAACACTGATCTTTAAAAAAAATTCTGGTGCATATAAATCTCCAATTAGGTTTAAGATGTCTGCACAATATTTTGAAATAGAATTCTTGCATTAGATTTCCAGAGCCATCTAAACCGTTCATAATGGTTGTCTTCTATGGGTTCATTTCAACAGAGTCAGTGGAACTAAGAGCTTCAAAAGGAAGGCAACTTACATAAATGACATGAGTGGAAACATCTATTTTGAGTTTTCAAGAGCTTATAGCTCAGTTGTTCAGAAAAATTAACTCATTTAAAATGAAATTATAAAATTTTTAAGAAAAATTTATCAGTCATGTTTAGGCAAAATCATTTCCACAAATACTGGTATTTTAGCAGACTGATGGTTATCAGTATAGGGCTATCTAATTCTTAAATATTAATTTTAAGTATAATATCTAACACTGATGTTTGCCCACAATGGGTTATTTAATATTTAACAATTAAACATAAATTAGGAACATTTTAGATATACTAAAGTACTTCAAATGGGCTAACTTACAGAAATTGTCCCAAATTTGTGACCCATGATTCCTATGGAATTTCAATTTAGCAATTTTTATAATATATTTTATTATAAATAATATCATGAAACAGTTTATGACATAATACAAAATCTAACTGTATATTATATTATATTATATTATATTATATTATATTATATTATATTATATTATATTATATTATATTATATTATATTATATTAATTATATATTAATCATAATCATAACACCCCAGACTTAACAACTGTCGATAAGAAAGACAAAAAAGTCTGGATAGTGGACATGGCAGTGCCTGGAGACAGCAGAATAGACGAGAAAGAACTGGAGAAGATAACAAAATACAAAGACCTACAAATAGAAATAGAACGACTGTGGCAAAAGCAAGCAAGGGTAGTACCAATAGTCATAGGCTCCTTGGGTGCAATCCCAAAACAACTGGAGCACCACTTGAACACCATTGGCATTGACAAATTCGCTATTAGTCAATTGCAAAAGGCGGCCTTACTAGGAACTGCTTCCATCCAGCGACGATACCTGTAGTATCATCAAACATCCACATCTGCCTATCCCAAGTCCTGGCTAAGGACTCGATAGGTAGACAAAATGCCAAATCCAGTCTGAACATCTGGCTGACTGTGCGATGATCCATAATAATAATAATAAAGTTAGAAGGGACCTTGGAGGTCATCTAGTCCAACCCCCTGCTCAGGCAGGAAACCCTATATCATTTCAGACAAATGGTTATCCAGTCTCTTCTTAAAAACTTCCAGTGTTGGAGCATTCACCACTTCTGGAGGCAGGCTGTTCCACTGGTTAATTGTTCTAACTGTCATTAAGTTTCTCCTTAGTTCTAGGTTGCTTCTCTCCTTGATTAGTTTCCACCCGTTGCTTCTTGTCCTGCCTTCAGGCGCCTTGGAAAATAGCTTGACTCCCTCTTCTCTGTGGCAGCCCCTGAGATATTGGAACACTGCTATCATGTCCCCTCTTGTCCTTCTCTTCATTAAACTAGACATACTCAATTCCAACAGCCTTTCCTTATATGCTTTAGCCTCCAGTCCCCTAATCATCTTTGTTGTTCTTCTCTGTACTCTTTCTAAAGTTTCAACATCTTTTTTTACATCGTGGTGATCAAACTGGATGCAGTATTCCAAGTGTGGCCTTACCAAGGCATTGTAAAGTGGTATTAACACGTCACGTGATCTTGATTCTATCCCTCTGTTAATGCAGCCTAACACTGTGTTGGCCTTTTTGGCAGCTGCAGCACACTGCTGGCTCATATTTAAGTGATTGTCCACTATATTATATTATTATATTTTATTATTATAATATTATATTATATTACTATATTTTATTATATTATATTATTACATTATATTATAATATTATA